TTATTTTGTTAAATGTTTCCCAATAACATTTTAATTTTGTTCCAGCTCTCAGAAAGAGAACTTGTTTGACATCTCTAGTCTATAAGAGATAAACCAGATACCAAAAACCTGTAGGATGTAACCTTTCAACTTTAGAACTGCCACCTTGGTAACCATGCTGTCTTGAATGATGAGTGCTTTAGTTCTAGCCAACCCCCAAACATAATTCACTTGCACCTTAGAGATATTCTTGCCTTCCAGCATATACTCATTTCCTTTCATCCTTGCTTTCCAGTTTTCAAACTATAATCAAATCAATATTGCAACTGCTTATGATTTCATTCACCACGCTGGCAAATTTTCAAACCAAGCTACTCATTCAAAGTGGTTTCCCTATTAGAATACAAACTCAGTGAAGGCAAGGACTTTCTTGTTTTTATATTTCTCTACCCAGTGCTTAACACAATGATCAAGCATATAGTGAGCTCTGGGTACTATTTCACTCTTCCATGTAGGCATGCATTTGTTGTAGGACCTATTCTCAAAACCTTCCAAAGCTTGGAATCTTCTGGTGTCTTTAAGAACCTAGGTCACCTACATGCCAAGATGAAATACTGACGTAGGGTTTTCATGAAAGAGTCCTTTTAAAATGGCTATGGAGGAGATCTTATCCTGAACATTCCTATCTTGAGTGATGTCAGGATGTGTGGGGTTAATAGGGCAATGGACAAGGGCAATTTTCATACTTTAATCTGTAGTACAAAGGTACCACCTCTTTCTACTTTTACAGCTGATCTACCCAGCTCCCATAATTCCTTTCTCTCGGTTGGAAGCTCCTAAACTGTCAGGTTCTAAAGCCCTGATTTTTCATTTCAGTGCACTATGTGGTCACAGGACATTAGGAAGCTTTACCTTGATCTCTCTGAAATGCCTTCTCTCAAGGGAATACTAACGACTGAGTTTTGACAGAGAAGGAAGGCTCCTTCCTGCCCTTTTAAAAACTAGATCCGAGTATGCTTTATACTAAAAACAATAGCAGACTTCAAGTTATAAATTTTAATTTTAAATAGCATCTTGATATACTGTTATTGCCAGATACCAACTAGAAAATCCCGGAAGGGATTATGAAACAAAAGTTAGAAGCCTATGGGGTTAGGGATAGTGCTGGGCCCTGTGATTTCATTAGTATGGAGAGCTCCAAAGTGAAGAAATTCCCTCCACTAATGTAGGTCAGCACCTTCCCTCCAACTTATAGTCTTAGAGAATTATTGAGAGTTTAAGTGACTTGCCCAGGATCAGACAGACATTAGAGTGGACTGCATTGGGTAGGTGAAACATTTACAATATTCTAGTTTTTTAAAATCCATATGAGTTTATTAGCTTCCGATGCATTATATTTTGGTACTGATAGATTTAATTCTCAATATACACATAGGGCAGCTATATGGTACAGTGGGTAGAGTTCAGGGCCTTGAGTCAGGAAGACCTGAGTTCAAATGTGGCCTTAGATTAGACACTTACTAGCTATGTGACCCTGGGCAAGTCACTTAAACCTGTTTGCCTCAGTTTCCTCATCTATAAAATGAACTAGAGAAGAAAATGGCAAATCACTTCGCTATCTTTGCCAAGAAAACACTAAGTGGACCCTCAGAGAGTCAGATACAACTGAAACAACTGAACAACAAGTAAACTGACCACTCCCAACTTAGAAATATTCAACCTAAGAATAATTTAAGAAAGGATGCTGCCAGAAGTCTTGCCCTCTTACTAGTGTTTTATTTTTTTTAGCTGCTGACAATGGAGTCCAAATCTAGCCCCACCCTCACCACCTACCAAGGCTGCTCTAACTAAAGGTGCTGCCGCCAGACTTCTCTTCACCTGACTCAAATTAATTTATCTACCTCCCTGACCCTGGAAGCCTCTTCCAACACTACCTTGGGAGCCAGAGCCAATATTTAGAGGGGTTCATCAGACTCAGGGTTGAGGAATAAAAAGGGTTTGATATTGAGAGATTAGGTTTAAAGTTTTTGTAGGCTAGTCTGGGAACCTAACCATCATTTATAACCCTGTTTCTATGGGAAACTACATTCCAATCAACCACTTTACTAGAACACAACCCATTCATAAGTTGTGGACTGTCTGTATTATTATAAGAGGAATTGTGTTTTCTGCCTATTTCAAAAAATTCTCTCCTAAAGATTAAAGATCAAATTTGTTGTATAGCTTTCACTCTGTACTTACATGAAAAGCAAACTTGAATAAATTTTCCCCACGAAACAAGTTGAAATTATAATTTTAAATATTTTTATTTGTGAATTTACTTTCCATGCCTTCTCCTCCCATCTCTGCTTTTGGGTCTCTGCATATATTAGCTGCTTACCCATAGTAGAAAATAGCCATAGAACTCATAGATTTTCAGAGGAAAGAAACTTTCTAAGTGAGAAGTCTGGACAAATTATAACTTACAATTCCAAAGAAAGAAACACCGGGTCAAATACTTTTAAATTTAGCAATAATTCTACCATTCTCTGCTGAAATAAAAAAGTTTAATATAATCCATCTTTTATTTGGTCTTTTTTGAGTAGGCAGGGAATAGTTTAAATGGAGACCTCAGCACATGGAGAATTGAAGACATCACAAACAAGAGCTTTAAAGAACTTGAATATGAGTAGAATCTCAACCGGAAATAAGTCTGCTTTTCTGGCCTATAAGGAATATAGGCCTTGGAAAAAACTGTGGCTATTATCCCTTCCTTTCGGTAGGGTAAGATTTTAATGATGGTAATAATAATATATTAATAATGACAGTTTTCACTATAAATCACTTTCATATACATTAGATACAATAGCATTGTAAGGCAGAAAGTACAAGTGTTAATACCCAAATTTTGCAGACAATGAAACTGAAGATCAGAGAGGTCATGGGAACATAGAGAGATTCAGAGCTGGAAAGGCCTTTTGAGGTCACTGAGTCCAACTACCTCATTTTTCAGATGAGGAAAGTGATTCTCACAGAAGTTAAATTACTTGCTCAAGGGTACATAGGCGGAAGACCTAGGATTATGAATCCAGGTCCTTAGGAACCAAATTCAAAACTCATTCTAATTCACAATGCTGCTTCTTATAGGATGAGATTCACTTGAAGGTCACATAGATAGCTGGGAGGTAGACAGGAGTTCTAGATGCAGAACTAGATAAGACTTTAATGATGCCCAAATGCCTCATTTGAGGCAGCTAGGTGGTACGGTGGACAAAGTGATGGGCCTGGAGTCAGGAAGACTCGTCTTCCTGAGTCCAAATATGACCTCAGACACTTATTAGCTGTGTGACTCTGGGTAAATCACTTAACCCTTTTTGCCTCAGTTTTTGTTGAGAAAACCCTACATAGGGTCACAGAGAGTCGGACATGACGACGACAACAACAATAACAAAATGCCTCATTTTACAAATGAAGAAATTGAGACCCAAAGGTGTTAGGTAACTTTCCCAGAAGAGAAGAGAGGTAGCCAAGACTGGGACTATTATAACATGAATAGCAATTTTTAGAGCTATCCCTTTTCTGAATGTGATCACATTTCAAAACTAGCTATTTTGTGAGTTTAGTGTCCATGATATTGGCTTAAAATACAATTACACTGGGTTGCCATAATTATGTTTTATATAATTTGAGCCTGGTACTCCTGAATTCAGTTTAATTTAATTCAACCAACATTTGTTAAATGCGATTATTTTAATGGCACTATGTTAGGTGCTGGGAACCATAAGAGGAGAAACTGTGGTGCAGAGGAAAGAGATCTACTTGGTATCAAGAGGTTTTAGGTTTAAATCCCAATTCTTCCATTTACTTTTCTGTTGGTGTGTCCTTGGGCAAGTCACTTGACTTCAGTTTCCTCATCTATAAAATGAGAGGGTTGCACTAGGTGGCTTCTAAATTCTCTTCCAGCTCTACCTTCCAGGAGTTTACATTCTACTTGGGGAGGTGATACTATGTAAACACCTGAGTTCTGCTGTGAATAGGTAAAGGGAGACTTTGAGGATGCAGAAAACATTTTCACTTGGGACTATAAGGGAAGACTTCATGGAGGAGGTTTTTAGCAGCAGGTTAAATGGAGATCTTGGACGTCTCTTACAGGTTCTGAAAAAGTAAATCTCTTGTAAACCTTAAAACACTATGTAAACGTGAGTTAATCTATTCGGTATCAGTCGTTTCTATATTATTTCTGCTAGATAATGGGCTTCAAATGTCTTTTTTGGTCTAGCCTGGGAACGTAGCCACCACTTTAAGCGTATTTTCCTTGGAAAATGTAAACAAAAGAACTTTGGGACACAGCCTTAGGTTGGAGGTCCCCCCCCCCCGCGCTGAGCAGAGGGCTCAGCTCTTCCACCGCACCCCGCCCTCCAGCCTCCTTTCCCTCCCTCCCTCCTGCACTCAGTGACGTGCCGCAATGGCCTCTATCACACAGGCTCTGGGGGAACATGCGCACTGCCGCCACTTGTTTCTCAGCTAGCTCGAGCTCGCCGCCGCTCTTGTCAGTCTCCGCTGTGCGGGTCAGCGAGCGGACTGCATGGGCTGTAGTGCCCCCTCGGGAATGTGACTGACCCGCGCCTGGGAGGCTTGGCGGTTTGGCTGTGCGTCTTCCACGCCTCTGCCTTTCCTCTTCTCCCTTTCCTTTAAAAAAAAAAAAGACAGAAAGAAAGAAAGAAAAGAAAACCCAGCAAGTTCCATCAGACTGGAAACACACTCCAGCGGCTCGCACGACCGTGCAGCTTCTTGGCAGGCGACGGCGGTGGCACCAGTAGGAGTCGCCGGGAGCTGCTCGGGGTCGCGTGTCGGTCCAGAGGAACCCCGCAGCCCTGGCCGCTGCTTGCTGCTCCACTGTAGGCTGTGGCTCCGGAACCCGTGCCCCGATCCGAGGCTGCGGACCGCGCCAGCCGCTTTCTTCCACCATCTACACTGCAACCACTGTCTCCTCCTGCGCTCCTGCTCCAGCTTCTGCTCCGACACAGCCGGGCTGGGCTGGAGCCAGGCTCTGCAATCCCAGCTGCCACCCTAGAGCCTAGGCTGGGGCCGCTGCTGCAGCCAAAGGCGTCAGGATCCCAGTAAGTTGAATACAGTTTTTCTGAAGTTGAATTAAGGGGGCGGGGGACAGGGGGAGGAGAAACTGAGAAGCAATGCTGGTTTTGCGTGTTTGTTTTTGTGGGGTGGGGGGGAGGACGGAGAGAATCGTTCTGGGTGCTTGGAGGAATTGGCTTATGGCCCCCCTCTTTCTCTTCAGCAGTGTTTCTGGGTTAGCTGCAGCTTGGGTTTGAGGGGTGGAAAGCGAGCCCCTACCTTCACCTGCACATAGAAAGGAGGAAGAGTGTCGGGTAACTGGTTGGGGTGGGTGGGCTACTTACTGGGTGACAACCCTTGAACCTCTGACGAAGGCACCAGTTGGAAGCGTGCTCCAAGAGGACAGGTGCTCTGATGGTATTTCGCCTCTTGCTAACTGCACATTCCAAACATCTTGAGTATATGTGTGTGTGTGTGTGTGTGTGTGTGTGTGTGTGTGTGTGTGTGTGTGTATGTATGTGTGTGTGTGTGTCCCCGTGTCCGTGTCCGTGTCCTAGGTTGATGTTGTGTCTCATGTCAAGTCTGCACTGGAGTTGATTTCTGTGGGTTTCGGTCAGGCTGGGACTGCAATGGACCCGTGTCTTTTGCGTGAAGAGAGCCAAGAGGAAAAGCTGTTTTTTCCAGGTCACTGGTCTGCATATTTTTACCTCAGCTCTCATTACTGAGGGGCAGAAGTTGTTAGCGTTTCTAGAATCGGAAACAGATCCCTTTAGGGGGAAAATAGATTTACATACAAATCCAACACTTCACTTTGGAGGTGGCAAGGGAAGAAATATTAAAAGAAGCAGCTATAGACACATGTTTATATGTAACTTTGGGCATTCAGGGGAAATTGACAAAGGGCAAGGATTCAAATTAAGAGGACTCAATGACTTTACCTTAGCTGTCATTTTTGATGTGAGGAAAAAAGTGAAGTCTGTCTCTGAGCGCGTGCAATAACTCCCTCTCTCACTGCAGTGTCTGCAGCTTTGGGGCTCCCTTCTATTTGGTTAACATCCAACTTCATCAGTATTTAATGCAAATGCTGACATGCTATAGGAGCCTGCAGTTTGAATCATAGTGCACTTTTCAAATTGAAAAGCCTTCTCTTAATAGAATAGCACGGAAGGAAGAGCTGAGTCTATTTTCAAAGCAGCACGAGGAATCAGATGCATAAATCACTTTTGAAAATCAGATAGACAGTGTACCCGCCTTCTAAGACTTTCTCTTATGTTTTTTACAAAAAGTGGAAAACATGCTTGCCAGACAGTTGTTGAGCCTGAAAGTTAAGTGTACTGATGGGCCTAATTAACTTAATAAACAGAGAGAATGATTTATAGGTAGCTGAACTGTAGTACTTTGAAGCATAGAACTCTTTAACCTTTCTTTCTCATCTGTCCCCCAGAGGATTCCTTTTAAACATAGCAATATATCATTATTGGTGTTTAATTCTTTAGTTGATTAAATTTATAAGAGAAGTCGATTTTGAAATTCAGCATTACTGAGAGACTATTAGACAGTGACAGTTGAAAAAGATTAAAGAAACCATTTTAGGGTGTATCTGATTTAGAAGTCATTGAAAACACTATGCAGAATTGATCTCATTCCAATGTCAGAATATTTTTCTTAATTTGGACTTAAGATAAAAGGAATTAATTCCATTATAAACCTACGCATGTGCTAACACACATAACTAGACATTCAAGTGAGAAAAAGGTACATTTTATTTAAGGTATTTTGTTACACAAAACTCTTGTTCTGAGTTCTATGTATGCATATGTTGTCTAATGGAGTAGATTTTTTTTTTACACCTTAAGGCAAATTATCAATTTTTAATTTTTTTTATAGTGTTATTTTTAAAAGTGCTATGGTTAGTCCCTGGCCACTTATTTGAAAATATCCTGGCTTCCCTCTTTTAAACAGCTACATATTTTAATTTCTTAGGATATTTAATATTAATGGAAAGCAAAAACTTACAATTTATGATAGTATAATATATCCTCTTTCAATTAAAATTTTTTTTATGTGTATCATTATGTTAGAAAATATGTTTGTAAATGGGATATGTTATGGGTCTTTGATGACTGGTAGAGGTAGCAAGAATTGTTCAGCAAATTGTTATTTTTCCTGTGTGGGCATAACACTACAGATCTTTTCCCTACCTTTGTAAATACAGCTGAAATGACTTGCTACAGATCCCAAGCCACAAAAATCCATCAAATTTACCCATTTATCTTTTTTAAAAAAAATCTTTATATCTTCAACGTCACCAGTTTTTTGTATCTTGCATCATAGTGTAAATTAAGAATATTTCTCCTTTACATAAAATAACGGTTAGTTTGCATTCCAAAGTCTCTTTAAGAATGTATAATTTTCTTGTGTTTTGCTTAAACACCTCCATGCTCTAGTAAACTTCATTAAGTAGTCTTCTAGAGATTGAAAATGGGTTGTGTGTACAGTGATTGTAACGCGTATCTTTTTACTATCTCCAGAATCCTGATATGCAGTTGGGTGGAGCAGTGGATTGGGCACTAGGCATGGACTCAGAAAGTTGTTGAGTTGTTTCAGTTGTGTTTGGCTTATCCATGACCCTATTTGGGCTTTTCTTGGCAAAGATGCTGGATTGGTTTGCCATTTCCTTCTCCAGCACATTTTTATAAATGAAGAACTGAGACAAACAATTGAGGAAACTGAGGCAAACAGGGTCAAGTGACTTGCCCACAGTCACACAGCTGGTAAGTGTCTCAGGCTAGATTTGAACTCAAGTCCTCCTGACTCCAGGGCCAGTGCTCTATCCACTGTCCCCATGGTATTCAAGAAAACCTGAGTTTAAATTCCACCTCAGACACTTATTAGCTGTGTTCCCCTGAGCAAGTCACTTTGCCTCTGTCTGCCTCAGTTTCCTCAACTATAAAACAGGGATAATAATGGCAAATACCTCATAGGGTTGTAAGGATCAAATGAGATATTTGTAAAGCACTTAGCACTTGTAGCTTTATAAATGCTTGTCTCTTCCTCCCACTGACGTATGAGGGACACAGGCAATTGAGTTCATGTAAACTCTGCCTTTTCATTAACTAAGATATTTTATAAAATATAATCAAGGCATCCAAGGCCTATGTTTATCCCCATGCTCCTGGAAACACCTGGCCCCTACCTTCAAGGAGCTTACTAGTTCAGGGAATAAAAGAAAAGTAAATGTCATCTGGGCAACTGGGTGGCATAGTGGATAGAGTGCAGCTGGGTCTGGAGGCAGGAAGAGTATTCCCCCCCACCACCACCACAATAGTATTTTATTTTTTCCAGTTATATGTAAAAATAGTTTTCATCCTTCACTTTTATAAGACTTTGAGTTTCAAATTTTTCCTCCCTCTCCAAGACAACAAGCAATCTGATATAGACTATACATGTACAATCATGTTAAACACTTCCACATTAATCATGTTGTGAAAGAAGAATCAGAAGGAGGAAAAACCATGAGAAAGAAAAAACAAAACAAAAAAAAGTGAAAATAGTATGCTTCGATCTGCATTCAGACTCCATAGTTCTTTCTCTGGATACGGATAGCATTTTCCATCGTGAGCCTTTTGGAATTGGCTTAGATCATTGTTTTGCTGAGAAAAGCCAAATCTGTCATAGCTGATCATCCTACAGTGTTGCTGTTACTGTGTACAGTGTTCTTCTGGTTCTGCTCACTTCACTCAGTATCAGTTCATGTAAATCTTTCCAGGTTTTTCTGAAATCCACCTGCTCATCATTTCTTATAGCACAGTAGTATTCCATTACACTGATATACCACAACTTGTTTTAAGCCATTCCCCAACTGATGGGCATCACCTCAATTTCTAATTCTTTGCCACCACAAAAAGCTGCTATAAATATTTTTGTGTATGTGGGTCATTTCCTGTTTTTTATGATCTCCTTGGGATACAGACCTAGTAGTGGTATTGTGGATCAAAGGGTATGTACAGTTTTATAGCCCTTTGGGCATAGTTCCAAATTGCTCTCCAGAATGGTTGGATCAGTTCATAACTCCACCAACAATGCATTAGTGGTCCAGTTTTCCCACATCTTCTCCAACATTTATCATTTCCTTTTCTGTTGTGTTAGCCAATCTGATAGGTATGAGGTGGTACCTCTGAGTTTTTTTAATTTGCATTTCTCTAATCAATAGTGATTTAGAGCATCTTTTCATATGACTGTAGATAGCTTTAATTTCTTCATCTGAAAACTGCCTGTTCATGTCCTTTGACCATTAATTAATTGGGAGGAAGACTCATTTTCCTCAATTCAAATCTAACCTCAGACACTAGTTGTGTGACCCTGGGCAAGTCACTTAATCCTGTTTGCCTCAGTTTCCTCTTCTGTAAAATCATCTGGAGAGGGAAATGGCAAACTATTCCAGTATCTCTGCCAAAACACCACTACCACCACAAATAGGGGTCAAGAACAGTTGGAAACAACTGAAAAAAACTTGACCAACAACAAAATAAATGTTATATCCTCTGTTTTGAAAGTGTCTGTCCTTTTGAAGGTAGGAGAGATCACCTTTAGTGGGTGGAAATCATCAAAGATTTTATAAAGGTAACATTTGACCTGGGCTTTAAGGACTGGCTATGGTTTTGTCAAGCAGAGGTGGGAAAGAGTGTCATGGGTGAGATGAATAGCATAAGTAATGTGCAGAGATAAGAAAATAGAAGGAGTATAATCTAATGTGATTGAAGGATAGGATACATATAGAAGATTAGAAAATAAATTATGCAACGTAAGTTTGAAGGGTCTTGAATACTAGGCCAAGGAATTAAATGTTTTTGTGAAAAAGAATGATCTGATCAGGCCTGTGCTTCAGAGGAGTCATCTGGACATAGTATAGTGGAGAGTATAGGGAAAGAAGGTAGATTTGATAAAAATCAAGGTAACACAGGGGCAACCAGGTGGCACAGTGGAGAGAGGGCCAGCCAGGGAGTCAGGAGGACTTGAATTAAAATTTGGTCTGAAACATATACTA